ACTAGAAAGTAGAAAGAAATATTTCTTTTTTTTATTATTATTATTTGTTATTTTTTATTATTATTTTCGAAGAACTTTAGATATTTCCCTGTATTTTTTGACAATATTTTTAATTATCAAATTATGTTTTCGTAGCTTTTTGACCGATGATTCTACTTTGAAGTCGAGGATAGTTCTGCCGGAGCATTACGTAAAAGGTTAGTCGGTAATTTAATGAAATATTTATGCTTACTATCATAAATTAACAACAATAATAATAAAAAATAATAATGACGACAACGATGATGATGTAGCAATAATAATATTTTCGAGAAACCTATTTCGAATGATCACGCGAAATAAAATACCTTGTATATCTTTATAATTGTACGTGTGATTGCATGTTAATCAATACTCGAATTGAATGGGGGGAAAAAAAACAACGCAGAAATCAGGCCTCCATCGAAACAAGGTCTGCCAGTGATAGTGGACTTTAATATCTTTGTAGCCGATATCAATTCGATAAATGTGGAGGATATGGACTTTCGGTGAGTCGAAACGATAGATTGATGTATTTATCTAAAGTGCATGAGAAAATATGGAAATAATATTTCCCTCGATTAGTAGATTCGACCTATCTTCATTAAGATTTTTTCAAACGACTGTAGCTATCGTAGCTACTATATTATTGTACCATGTAATATAATATCTTTGATTTTACTGTAATATCTATAATATGCTATACTATGATATTCTACTATAATATAATATCTTCTATTCCCTCATTTGACAATACAATAACTTGCAATTCATCTTTTTTCCCTGTACCTAACATCTATATTTTAAACCCTTACTACGCGAATGCTCTCACGCCTATATAGTCACGACACAGCGAAAAATATCGTATAGAAATTCATGTGACATTCTAAGATCTTCAAACATTCTTTGGTAAATACAGAGTGAAAAGGGAAGTTTGTCCGTGGCTATCATAGATGAATTTTATATCTTGTAAAATTGACCTTGATCTGGAATTTCAAGGTAAAGAAATTTCTTTTTTTTGTCATTTTAAACTTTAAAACTTTTCCACGGAGTCGTAAGGAAATTTTTCGAAGAAAGAAATTTCTTTTTTTTTTTGTCATTTTAAACTTTAAAACTTTTCCACGGAGTCGTAAGGAAATTTTTCGAAGGAAGAAATTTCTTTTTTTTTTGTCATTTTAAACTTTAAAACTTTTCCAAGGTAAAGAAACGTTCGCAATCTGACAGTTACTTTTGAAAAATCATTGAACGCGGCGGACGTGTGCGTGGCAACCGCGAACTGTAGAATTCATTTATGATAATCACGGGGAAACTTTTCTTTCCATCCTACGTACGTATGTGTATATTTAGTTGAAGCTAAAACATTTCCTGACCTGGTTCATATAAATACCTACAGTACCATTATTTATTTGTATTTCAAGCTATGCCAAGTAATAATTACGCGTGCATAACGAACGATTGCCACATCACAGAAATAACAGAATTACTCGTCAAACAGAGTGGACATGTTTGTTCGTCAAAGTTGGATCGAGTCTCGACTAGATATGCCAGAGAACATCTTCGAGGAAGGCGACGATTATGTCACGCTACCTCCCGAATTCTTCGACAGTTTATGGCAGCCAGATCCATACTTTTTGAACGCAAAAGTCTCGGGTGAGTCTTGATCAGAAATATATACTATATGCTACACATTACTTACGTATAATTTGAAGCAAGGTGTTATGCTCGAGGAAACGATGTACTGACGGATGGTTGTTTTCCGATCTTTACTTCTTCCTTCTACGCGAGAGCAATAAGTAAGTTGCAACGTAGCGGACGTTGGACGAGACGAGACGAGACAAGAGACGATTCAACTAACGCGTCGTGCACTTCACAAGGACCTCTGTACTATTACTCGTGAGACCCGTTCCACTGGCCCTTATATATAAAACCAATTCCCTTGTTCCTTCCCAACCACGTGATCGGCAAGATAAATCGGTTTTGGCTAATGGTTAGCAATTAGCAAAGTCAGCCCCATAAATTCGTCAATCATTATTCTGGTAATTACTTTCGGGTCCCAGGGTATATACTGCCCTGACATTATGTTTACAACCTTGTTACTTGGGTAATCCCCATTGTAATACAATATAATACAAGGGACAAAAGAAGCGCAAAGAATGCGTTAAATAATAATAATTTTCGTAGAATTGCGTCGTACAGTCGCAGTTGCATTACGTACGAAAGCAAAAGTATTGCAAAGTGCAAATGGATGAAATCGGTGTGTTAAATGTAATGTACACGCAAGAAAGATGAACGTTGACCAAATTTTGCAACGCTTGGTCGTGGCCTTTCACGATCTGTTGGTCGTTCACTGCAGGTACACTTAACACTTATACCTGCGCTGCAGGTCGTCTCGAATCCAATTGTGTCCATTTCCGAGTGTCATAGTCGTTAGACAACATCCTTGTTCCTTGTAGAGATTTCGCAGTTCCTAGAAGGTGCGAGAAAGCTCCTTTGTCTCTGTTTCTCCCTTAATGCGAATTTTATCGTTTACCAGCGACTTTCATTACAATGGCAAATGGTATTGAAAAATACCATTACGTGTTATCTGATCAGATACTGTACGTGTCGATAAGCGATGAAAAAAATAATTCCTCGCCACCTGTCTTCACTGACCATGAAGTAATCTTCAGCTGACCTCAATATATACTTTCGGTATATATTCAGTGATATACTTACAGTAATGATTTTGTAAAGATTAGTGCTTCTTGATGAATGAATTTTTTTTTTTTTTCATTCACTCATATACGTAAATCTTGATCGCAAAAACACGACCATTTTTTCTTTTTTTTTTTTTTTTTTTAGAAATTGCGGCGTTAAATCACAAATTCTCCTCCGTTACGTTGTACAGAAACAAAACGGTGAAATATTCGGCACGGATGCATGCCATTATCGCTTGTCAAATGGAATTTCAACTCTACCCAATGGACATTCAAATATGCCCAATCTACATAGAGAGTTGTAAGTTTAACGCTTAAATAGATAAGTTAATATCTCGCTCATCTTTAATATTTCCTTTAATTAAGTCATAGTTACAATTATAGACTGCAATTGGATTTTTAAGCTTTTGTAAAAATAGCACATAGAAAATAGCAAATAGAATACACAACGCATGTACAATACGTGTAAAATATTGGAAAATACTCGTTATAATATGATGCAAGCTGAAACATTCTACCGTTTAATTGTACTCAAATGAAATTTGCAATTTGATTACATTTACTGTTGGAACATTGTTATCGACAAGTTTCTTCGTATCTCTGAACCTAACAGAGATAATTACATTGTATAAATTTATTGGCCCACATTATACGCAGTTCTAAATTCTAAGGAATATTACAAAAGTTCTGCAACAATATATAATGATATCTATAATGATAGACTATAATTATTGTTGAAACAGATTGCAACGTACGGCTGAAATTTCAATGAGGAAACTCATTAAAAATCATTTAAGATGTTTGTTGTTGAAGTTAAAACTCGAAACGTCTGTTCTTCAATTCAGTCTTTCTATTCATACGTCACCTTTTGTACTTTACCTTTGCATTCATGTCACCCTTTATCTTTTGTATTCATTCATCATGTTGATTACCAACTGCTACCTGAAACTTCAAGCTTTGTTTCATTTTATTACACGCGTATGGTTTCGACGAATTGTCAACTGTGTTAGATACTTAATCGAAGAAGAAACACCAATGTGTTCCAAGCTACGCGATATATGATACGTGAAATGACAACACAAAAAAACTTAGAAATTTATTGAGATACATCATATCACGTAAGTTATTCGTATGTTAAAAATGTTGAAATATTAAAATTCGTTGTAATCTTACAATTAGATTACTGCAGACTCTAATAGATTACTCTTACTCTTGTAACCGTAACGTTCCGCAAGTCACCGATTATCATCCATTTTTACCCGTCGATCGCAAACTCGACAGCAGATTCACGGCATTAACTTGGAAAACTGCTATACTCGCGATACAGTTTCCTATCACAAGCAAAAGTTACGCTTGAGATGGGGAGTGGGTGCAGTGACGGTGAATCCAGAGCTAAAGCTTCTACAATACGACATCGGGAAGCCGATGGTTGCCGCAGAGACAGTCGACTATATGGTGGAGAAAAGTGGTATGGATGCTCAACGTTTCGATGTAAAAGTGATGTCTAGACTCGGTCTGATATACATACATGTATATGTACGTTCAATTGATTTGCAGGGAATTTTTCACGACTGGTGGTGTTCTTCCGATTCGAAAGACAGATTGGTCATCACCTGATACAGACCTTTGCACCGTCCACGTTGGTAGTCATGCTGTCTTGGTTTAGCTTCTGGTTGGGATTAGACGCGATACCTGGTCGCGTAGCTCTTTTAGTAACCAGTATGCTAACTTTGGTTACTATGTTTACTGGTCTAAAAAGCGATATTCCACCGGTCGCTTACGTGAAAGTTAGTTCCAATTCGACTATTCACAGCTAACGGACTGTCAACATCCTCACGCTTATGTCATTTGTTCATTTTTTTTTTTCTTTTTTTTTTTTTTTTAAGTACTTTGTTCATGAAAAACAATGTTGAGTATATCAATTTACTTGTATATCAATGAATTTTCTAATCATTTCCGATTATATGTACGTACGTGTGTGTAGGTGTGGCGAGGTCAGTTAATTAGCGAGGAAACTTCTCTGACGAATGAAAAGTTAATAGAGATAAATTAAATTTCAATTAACTCGACGTTAGTCCTTATAGGTATAAATATAAATTCGACATACAAGTTACTTCAACAGAAATGAACAAATTAATTAACAAATTAAAAAAATTAAATTTGCATTTTAAAGATGTATAAAGGTTGCTTTATAGCACATTGTTCGTACAAATGTGGAATGGTAACAACAACAGATTCCTTTTATTGTTTTCACATATTATAGCTTAAACACTATATAAAGACCACAGACAAGAAACATGATGAGCAATTTCTGAATTCAATTGGCAATTTGACATTATCAAAATTGTCCTTTTATTTGTAATTTTATTGAAATTATTCTACCAACTAAAAATCATTCTTTACTTTTATTTATATAAAATTTGCTGTATTCATCGGCCATTTTTAGCAAATTTAAAATTATAAATATAACAGATGAAAATTAAGAAATTGGTAAAAGTGAACTTGTTATGCTCTTATGCTGCTTATACTATGTACATACACATATAGTGTATCGTCATTCTTAGAAACAATTACAAGATACCTGAGCTTGCCAAAATATGTTTGAGCTTGAACAAACTATACATTGAATGCATTCTCTTTGGACAGTCTTCATTGTTCTCTAATGTATCTGGTATTTCAATGGTATCTTGACAGTATCATTTGTGGTATTATCCTTTAGTTTTAAACCGTAACTAATACTTCCTCAGTGGTTTTCTATTTTCTATTTGTGAATAATATAACTTTTTTTTTCTTTCATCATTCTTGTTAAATAATAATATTGATCTTATAGCAATAAATGCGAACTTATCAAATGATAGTATGATCATTATATAGTATGATATGGAAAAGTATTGCTTTCATATTTGACGTTAATAGGATAAATGTTACGTCTTTGGCTGAATGAAACCGTCCCGTTACGATATTGTTATGATAGTATAAATCAACCTTGATATTACACCATTTCAATGTTCCGATATTAATGCTCTAATTTTCCAACTAGCTCTTCTAATAACTTGAAAATTGATATAAAATACTGACTGATAAATTGTAAAATAATTGACTGATAATTACTACATTACGCTAATATATTTCTATACGTTTAGGCATTAGATGTTTGGATGGCAGGCTGTATGATGTTTGTGTTCGCTGCTCTTGGTGAATTCGTCGTGGTAAAAGTACTCGACTTGCGGTATCAGTTGGAGTATGATTTCCAGTCGTCAATATTCCGACATCACTCAACAGTTTGTATAATAAATTTATCGTTACTATTACGAACGCGAGTTTTGAAGGTTAAAAGTAGTAGGTAGGAGTAAAAATAAATCCATTCGATACGATATAAAAATTAACAGATTGATCTTCCTATTACATTTTTTAAAATTTCGTCCCACGTGTTTGCCCCTGTATTGTACGTATTTATTTAATATATAAATTGTATTGCACGTTTCATCAAATATTTGCTTAATCGTTTGATTCAGATTGAAAACAAAAGATTCAGGTTTCGTATTATTTTCAGCGTGTAATTGCCATGGAAAAGGGTCAAAGCATCTGGGATTATGACTCAACGTATGTACCAAAGACGAGAAATAAAAGAGCTGGTAGCAAGCATCTTTTACAAAATGCGTGGTTAGATCCTGAATATCCGATAATACGTGTGTACAAAACACGATCGCAAAAAATTGACACTTACAGTAGAGTAGGTTTCCCTATACTATTTATGCTGTTCATCGTTTTATATTGGCCGATACTTTTGCTCAAGAAAGCGGCATAATGTTGCAAATACGTAATGTAACTAGGTAAAAATTTACAAATTATTAACGAAATTATCACATACTGTACAGAACTCTTCACATTGATAATAATTTAAGAGAAATTACTACGCGAGTGAAATACATATGTGTAAATAATAAGTACATGCAACGTATATAAAAATTTATATATAGATTTAATGTATTTTTTAAAAATATATATTATTTGAGCAATCGAAATACATATACATTAAATGAAAATAATAAATAAAACAAAATAAATTTATTCGAAAATTTATGATTACATCTATTCATTAAATATATAAAAGGTAATAATCCATTTCTTCATTTTTGGTCATTAAAATCATACATTTTAGCCAACTGCAATTTCTCTCAAGAACTTTCCTATTCGATTTCCTCAATTTCCATAGAATTGTTTTTTGTAGCTTTGAAGGCGCCAACTTTTTTCAAATAACTCATCGTATATTGATTAAAATCACATCTGTGTGAAGTTAAAATGATATTAATAATATTAATAATTTTAAATAATTAATGTATAAACATTATGTACTGACATTTTACTCAGGTCATCGTACTTCTTCTGCATATTTTTCTGCAACGTCAGCAGTATCGGCATTTGAAGAGCCGTATTTATCTTTGTTCCGTGATTAGTCAGTATAACTTCTATCCAAAGAAGATAAAAATGTATGTGCCTGGTATATTCCAATTCTGATGCTATGAATTTTAATGCTTTTTCGACGTAAATATCGGACAAGTCCGTCACGGTTAAATTAACTAAAATAAAACATGTCATAAATGTGTTAAATAATTAATAGTATATTAATAAATCACTATTAACTTACTGTCTGAACATGGAATATTTTCTATAACGCATTTTATCAACAACTTTTCGTTCAATTTCAAAGCCATCATCAACGCTGAAAAATTATTGTTTTTATTAGCACTTTTATTATACTTTTATTTATCCTGAAAAAGTTATTTTTTATATAAATTCTAAACCTTTTGCGTATTGCTTTTGATTTAAAGTCTTTTGCACGCTCTCTGGCGTAATTCCTAATTCCAATTGAAATGGATCAAATACTAATCCAGCATCTAATGAATATAATAATAATCCTTCCGTTGTCGCCGCAGCCCACGCCTGTCCTATGTACGACGTATAAGAGATGCGTTGTTAAAATTACCGTAAAAGTAACTATTTTGAACCTGTCTGGAAAATTAAATCTCACCTGTTGGAGAAAACTGTAAACTATATACCCTGACTTCTGGCTTTATATTTCTGCTTGCCATATCTCCACTTCTAACGCCCGGTAATCGTAACTTTACCTTTCCTCCTTCGTTTTCTTCACGTTCTTCCACTAACGCCAAATTTCCAAATTCTGTTAAATTTCGCTTATTTATAATATCCTATAATGTAAAAATGAATTTTTATTAAAAAGATAATACATCAGAAGATAGCAATATTTCAAAGTTGACGAGAAACATTTCTTACATCAACTGCATCCAGTGATTTGTTCTGCGTTATGACAAATTTTCTCACAAGTATAAATTCTTGTACATTGTAAATACATATATTTATAGAATGTCCACCAGCTAATATACACGTACCATCAGCCGAGTAACAAAGAACAGAAAAGGACCTAAAAAGTTTTTTTGATTTGATTAATCCAATTTTAATTTCCGTTTAAATTACTTTCGTTATATAAGGTATATTCTAAAAATACTTACTTCCCCTTCAGACTTTTCTTAGCCGTAATAAGATCAGTATCAGACCTGCCACTACCTAGATCATTTCTTCCTTCAATACTACCAATTTGCGTCGCCGTTTTACAATGGAAAAATGAGATTTGCCCATCCAAAGTTGCCACTGCTACTTCTTCACCATTTGGTTTGTACGTAACATATAAACCATCGGCAGTCAACTGTATCGTTTCGTGCGAGGAACCATTTTCAATCGCGTTCCATATCTTTAATGTTTTGTCCCAAGATACAGATACTAATTCTGTGCTTGTGACACTTGGATTAAATGCTAAACTGGCAACTGGACCTTCGTGTCCGCTCAATATCTAGTGTATGAAATATACGATACAGATTAGTGAGAATCCTTTAAATTTTTAAAACATCGATACTCTGAAAGTTCGCGGCAAGAACTTAAATTTTTTTTATTTTAAAGAGGCAAATAATGAACAATTTGTTGAATATTTGAGAGTTCTAATTTTTTCGTTGTCACCTCCACTGATTGTATTTGTAATTAAATGTAACTACAGCCACTAATTCTTAGTGTGTGTAATTTAAAATTATTTCTCAAAAATATACCTCTAAAAGCGTGCCTAGTTTGACGCTCCACAAATAAATTTCAAAAATGTCTTGGCCTCCGGCTGCAAGAAACTCATCGCTTGAATCTAAAGCAACGCAGGAAAATTGTACAGGTCGCGGAGAAGTAAAAGTTCGGAAATTCCTGTACCTTGCTAAGTCATAAGCTCTGACGGTTCCGTCAAGCGATGCAGAAACAATAAATTTCCTATTGTGACTAAACATTACTCCTGTTATTGCAGATGTATGTTCTTGAAATGTAATGGAACAAAATCCGTTCATGGTGTTCCATAATTTAACTTTTCCGTCATCACCTCCAGTAACAATGTACTGACCATCCGGACTATACGCTAAACAATTCATATTATTACTGTGACCTTGTTGCTTCATAGCATAAGTTTCACTTTGCCATTCCCATACTAATAATTGACCAGCTGTAGAACATCCTAAGGCTATCCAATCACCAGTTGGATTTATGGCAATAGATGTAATACGTTGATCTGATATACTGGAAAATGTAGCTTATTAAATATTACATTAATGTTAAAAATATACAAGTGGCATACTGCCAATATAAGCAGATAAATTACAAACCTTAGAGAATGTATCATGTTTACATCAGGCATTTCATATAAATAAAATGAACCATTGCTAAATCCTACTACTAGGATATGAGTCTGCTGATGATACGCAGCTGCAGTGAGTGTTACTTTTATCTTTTCTTGCTTTTGAACTTCGTTAGCTAAGTAATGACGACACAGTTTAGTATAACGTAATTGTTTGGTTTCTGTCTCGTCTTCGGTACTCTTTACAAATGATTCGGATGAATCTTCTGTGAAACATAATCTGTATTACATATCTTATATCGTTCTTAAACTAACCGTGATATCTACGATATTAGATTATAAGAGGCAAATTACGCGATTTTAGTAAACTATGTTCATAAGCTTTGGCCTGTTTGTCTGTTTTTTCTATGGTTTTTTCAATATTAACATCATCTTCTTCGTCACTATCTGTTTTTTTGTCTCTCTTGGTTGGAGGTACTTCCACTGCCATTAAATCTTCTGGATCGATCGTACAGTCCCAAATGCACAATTGCCCGTTTCTTTAAAATATGTGATATTATTATTATTTAATAAAATGTTTCCTTAAAATGAATTATATTCAAAATACATACTTGCTAATTGTAATCAAATCATAATTCTTTTTTTCAAAAAAGCATGCTACAATTCCATCGGAATGACCACCAAGATTAATATATCTGAAGTTTGCATATTTTTCTAAACCGTAAATTTTTGTAGCCATGTCTTCAGAGCCTACAGCTAATAATTTTGAATCGTAAGACCAATTAACAAAAGTTGTGTCATCTGTAGCTGCATGGAATACACGTTCCATAACAAATGGATTAAATTGACCTGTTTGCAAGCCGGGTGCATTAAAAATAAATACTGAAAAAATAACAGTCGTTAATACGGATATTTAATCAATACAAAGAAATTAATTAATTAACTACATGTAACGGTTATGACATATTATACAAGAGACATACCATTATTTTCTTTACAAACTGCAAAATGTTTACCATCCGGAGAAAACTTTACACATCTTACGAGTCGTTTAAATCTATATTTATGTATTATCATTTTACTAATCATGCTAATTATATGAGCTTCACCAACTGAAAAAAAAGTTTTCCAATAAAATTATACCGAGATTTTAAGATTAACTTCAGCCATGTAATGTAATTTAGTCGTACCTTCGTTGACTGCAATTAATAATATTCCATTAGGTGATAAATCTATGCTGGTATAATTATACTGACTCTCGACAGGTAATGTATTTGACTTGTTACTGAAAATAATTTTCATAGAATGACGATGAGTTGCATAAAAATTCTTAAATGAGCATTACACTTACTTCCTCAAATCATATATCGTTATCCGATTTCCCACTGGACTAATAACTGAAGATCCATCTGGAGAAAATATCAAATCCCCCTTACGGTAAACTGCACCAAGCAGATTACTGAACTATAAAAAAAACAATGATCGAGTATAGAGATAAGTATACAGAAATTATAATTACAATTGTCTTTTATATATTATAATTGAATCTTTCATAAGTGAGTTGTGAGCATGTCTTTATTTCAAAAAACTTGCAAGTTATTATCATACACATCGTATAAAAGAGTGAAATGCAGTGCACAGTAATATTAGGTTAGGAACAACACGCGACAATTGTATTATTCTATATATTTTAGACATGTATTTCAAAAATGATTTCATAAATCACGAATATATTCTTTTACCTTATATGCAAACTTCATGATATTTTATAATGTACACAATGTTTATTATAAATATCCCTCGGAGACACGAAGCATGATGAACGTCATGTTTAAATCAAGTGTACTACGCTGCGCTACAGCGTGACTTCCGTTTAACAAATCGGATCACGTGTCAAAGGTGTTGGCTCAATATTTCAAAAACTTTCTACCAAATTTTCTAACTTATTGTAGGCGTAATGTTAAACAGTAATTGAATTATTGTTTTCACAGAGTATTTCAATGTTATATTTCTAGGGAAGTACTGTCAAATACGTAATGAAAAGTTCTACAACTTGTATGAACTTTACACCAATTAATTTCATGTCTGCGATACAAATGTCAACTTAAAGTTTCATTTACAAGATCGAAAATGTATTTTAATAAAATAGATTAAACGTTAATTAAAAAAAAAAAAAAAGAAAAGAGAAAATCTACATGTTAGGTTGCGCGTGCAAATACAAATCTTGTATCGAAATTTTAACTGTTTCATCTATATTCGATTCGATACTTAACTATTTCATCAAATGTTTTAATTTTCTGCTATAACCAGTTATAAAGTCATTGCTAACATCAACTAAAATGAAATTACGAGAATGTACATTTTTGTGTTTGAACGTAGTCACGTGTTGGCGTGCATTTTTGCGTAAATAACCTCCAAAGGCACGAAAAACGGTACGAGACAAGTTGGAGGAACGAGTAAAATTTCGAAGGTGATATTCGATATATTTCTAGGTGAACGAATATTTCAGAAATCGGCATAAAAGAGGAAATAAGTACAGGAAACGTGTGTCACGCGGTGTGCGAAGCAAAAGGTTGCGCGGAGAAGATGCGCGGTGGCCGAGAGGAGAGCGTATAGCGAGGCTGACGTCACTGACGTCAGACATAAAAGATGAAAGACGCAACTGGATTCGCTTGGAACGGTGTAGCCCGCAGTCGCGAGCCAATGGGAAGGGTATAGACATCATTGAGTTTCGGCAGCCTCTTCTTCTCTTACTCGTCACTCGTCACATGACCCGCACTCCTGTACAGTAGGCCATATTTGACAGTGGCACTAGTTTAGCGAAGTGAGTGCGTGAAGATCGCTCTTCATCCCGACGTTCGTGTTTCCGACAACCTGTAAATACTCGTGATCGATTTGACCTACGAGTCTTGAACGCATCAGAATGAACCAGGAGAGTGAGAACGCGCCGATTTACGCTCCGTTCTTCGGAGTAATGGGCGCCGCCTCAGCCATTATATTTTCTGGTGAGTTTCAGTTGTTTGAAACTGCTCTTGGCCGAACAGAGTGCAGCTTAATTTCGGTATCCTGTACCGATGAAGCGTGTAGCACGTTCTGAAATGAGAGACGTAACCCGTAAATACGATTCCTAGCACTGGCAGTTTTATCGTATGCACGCCATTTTCATAGTCACAAACTGCATAAAGTATGAAAAAAAAAAAGAAAAAAGAAAAAGAAAGAATACATTTTGATAGATTAATCAATTTTTCTTACACAGTTCTAACGGCCCGCTAGAGAATATTTAATATTTAAGTTGGTCTATCGTTAGTCGAATGATACGGCTTATCTAATTTTTTTGATCACTTCAATTCGCGGAAGAAATCAATGAGACTGAACATGTATCTCCACGAGCTCATAAATATATTTTGATACCTTGTCAAATATGACACCCGGTGATATATAATACAATAAGACCGCGATACAGGTGCGTTGTAATCGGGATCGTTACACGTTGAAAATAGGGATTCAATTTCGAAACGCCATTTTTCTAGGCACGTAGATCTAGGATTTCGTAATGTTCCGTAAATGCAGTCCAACCAGCTTAATTTTATATTACGAGAGAAACATTCGTGCGCGGCGTTTGGACGATCGGGGGATTATTGGCTGCGTTATTTCGCAATGGTGACCTCGTTGAGTGCTTTTTGAATAAAAGTCTGTATGTATCGAGTTGACAAACATCGAAGTGCTCGACTGAATGCATAAGATTCGTAAGAGTCGATGGAAGATTCCACCAAGTGTAATCGTCCACATCGTCGTTCGTATCGATTTCAATTTTAAATCCGAATGAAACATTCTTCTGATAATCTCTTGTAATGAAGAGAGAGAGAGGAAAAAGGTGGAGAGAGAGAGAGAGAGAGAGAGAATGTTCAAGACGCGCAAACTTAAACTTTGAAATGTCGTTGGTGGGTCCCTATCAAGGAAATCAATACGAATCCCTTTTCTCGTGTGCGCCAGTCTTGAATGGACGACAACACACGAGGAGAGCTTAACCTACGAATCGAAAGCACGAAAAACCCTGATTCCCGTTCAGATTCCTATACTTTCGTTGTTACTTTTTACAATTTTTATCCATGTGTGAGTCAATTAGAAATCAGACTGATTTGAGGATAATCTTTTTGATTCAACAAAAATCCACGCACCGTCGCAATGATCACAGTTACATTGAGAAATTTTCAGGAAATGGAGTTGATCGATTTGATTTTTTTTAAGTAGATTTTGTATCTACGAATATGTATATATACATATCTGTATACATATATAAATATATATATATATTATATATATATATATTATATAACAATAGAGTTTCCCTAAACTTCCATTCCAAATTGTTTTTTGTTTCTTGGGTGAAACAGAAGAATTGAAAAAAAAAAAAAAAAAAAAAAAAAAAAGGAATTGTTTCGTTGTGCCACGCCCCCCTTACTCGCGGGATGGGACTTACATGATTATCATGTGACTGCCAACGTGAGAATCATGTGACTACGATTTCCAGTCACGGCAGAATAATTTTGTTACAGTCATTACCTGAGATTCTCTTTTCTCCCTTTTCCAATGCAGGATCACCAAATTTCGAAAGAAGACGATGTTGACGAAAATAATCACAGTATCGATTAACGCTATAAAAATCGGGTCTGCAACCTTCCTGTTATAGAGATCAATATTAAACGAGATCGATAGCTCTCGATGGAAAGAGAATGTCCCCGATGCACCACGGAGATCTGTCAAACTTCATTTCACAAAAATACTGAAAATATTGGAATTCATATCTTATTATCGATTTTAATCGTTTTATATCTATCAATTGTTTTTCGACAATTTTTACAACTTAATACGTACATGTATATACACATCTCCGTGGAGCGTACATATAATTTTAAATATGTACGTGTATGCAGATATAAATTATAATATATATATATATATATATAATTATAAAACATATCAAAATATATTTATTTATGTTACAAGTAAATTCCTCCGTTTGTACATGTCTGAGTAATTATGCTTTACAATTATTAAATACTATGTTGAAATACATTCATTGAATGATAATAAATGAAATTTGAATGGTAATGATCTCTGAATTATTACGTTGATAAGTGTAAAATACCTATTTTCATGTGATATATGTTTTATTCCCAGCTCTAGGAGCAGCGTATGGCACAGCAAAGTCAGGTACAGGAATTGCAGCCATGTCTGTTATGAGGCCAGAACTTATCATGAAATCTATAATTCCTGTCGTTATGGCTGGTATCATTGCCATTTATGGTCTTGTCGTTGCTGTTCTCATTGCTGGTGGTCTAGAAAGTGTTGGTTATACTCTGTACAAGTACGTTGTGTATATAAGTTATTTAACTATTTAACTTTTAATCTATAATTAATATATAATGTACATGTTACCTTTATTCTTCATGTACTATATTTTAATACTGTGAGTATTGTATATGAAACATGATTAATGTTGTATTAACATTTAATTTGATATATATCTTTTTTATAATAAGAAATTACAATTGTTTAAATATCATTTTCTAGATATTACAAGTAATTATTTCAGGACAACATTAAACATGGTTTGACTGTTATTATTAGCATGTTACGATTATTTATTTACTGTATATTGAGAAATATTTAGGTTCCCATAAATTAATTATTCTAAAAGAGTCTCGCTAATGATTGTTTAGTCTCACTTAATCAATCTGTATAATATCTGATAATATCTGTAGTCTCACTCAATCAATCAGTTTTAACTCAGAACTTTTCTGAAAATTGAATAAAAGTGCTTTAATTGCTTTCTATAATACTATTGCTATGTTTGCATTGTTGATTACGTGAAACGTAGAGACAAAATTTTAGAATAAGCGTTAATCAAAGACGATTTGCCGAAAAAAGGCCAATAGACTCCCTCCCCCCTTTTCCAAAAACATCCTCAATTATTTCGCTTTACTGAATGTTAATATTTTCACTCATAACCGATAGAGTTACTGTTTCTCCTTCGTAATTAACAAGCGACTTTTTTGATCTTTTTACCAGGGGTTTTGTTCATCTCGGTGCTGGTTTAGCCGTAGGTTTCTCTGGTCTAGCTGCCGGATTTGCCATTGGTATTGTTGGAGATGCAGGCGTAAGAGGTACTGCACAACAACCTCGCCTGTTTGTTGGTATGATCTTGATTCTAATCTTCGCAGAAGTATTGGGTCTCTATGGTCTCATCGTTGCTATTTACTTGTACACCAAGTAAACAGATTTTAGTAGCAGGAATATAAAACTCGTCGCCTGCAACCAACAACGCTCCCCGACTATTAAAATATTACAACTTGTTTCGACATTTTACTTAAACATATGTTTTCCATACATACTCGCATCAATTCATCTAAGCATCCTTCTGTAATACTGTATTCAAATTGATATATTAGAGTCCAAGCATTTAATAAGTACATATTCATTATATAAATGACATAATTGTTAAAAAAAAAAAAAATGCAAGCAAGTAACAAGAGTGCTAGAAATCTAATTGATTCGCTAAATATTTTGAATTGAGAAACAAATAATTCAGTCTTGCAGCAAGAGGATGTATGTACAGAAGATACACAAAAAGCAACAGGCGACAGGGAATTATACTGAGAAAAGACCCCAAATATCCCATGTCAAACATTTCTCTTTCACTGTATAGTAATCATTTATAGTGTAGTTTGACATTGAATTATCAATTAAGGTAATCGGCTCTACTGAGTGTATAAAGAAAAAAAGAAAAAAAAACTGTTAATGATAAAAGAATATTTAGCACAATTACATATATTAAATGCGATTGAAGTGGCAGTATACTGATTGCAGATGTACGTTTTTTGCGACAAACATCTAAATAAAATTATATCTGAATTAGAAAGTGGGAGGAATATGTAAGATTGCGTCTAGGAAACAGCATAATATGTGATGATTGTACAAACTATATCTTGGACAAAAAGAAAAAAAAAAACGAAAGAAAGAATATAGATATTGTACAATCAAAACTATAAGACACAAAGTATAGTATGTGGGATGAAATTTTAGGGAGAAAAATGAAATGAATGTGAGTAGATAATGAACAGATACATGATAGTATTAAGTCAATTCAGAGACTGCTGGGCGTATCAGGAATTTACACTTATTATGATGTATGTTTTCAAATACTTTTGGGTGACTGCAAAGGCCAGCGGTGATTCCCCTTTCTCAACTGTAAACATACTTATTTCACGTTTCATTAAAAAAAAATATATATATATATATGTGTACGCATACGTGTATGTATGTAATATGTATGTATACATATACACACACATTAATGGAGTGACAAGTATGTTAAGGCATCACAAGAAAAAAAAAACAATTCCATGCGTCCCAGCAGATGTATGACTACCTAAGAAAGGGGTTACAAAATAATAATGATGAAAAAAAATCATTTGTACATTCCATAAGTTTGTTCAGTGCAGGCGAGCGGGCGCTTGTCATGACTTGACGAATGGTGAACTTTTTGAGCAAAAAAAAAAAAGAAAAAAAAAAGAAGGAGAAATTATGCGTTCGATATTTTACATTTCTTTCGTGATAACATTTTTAAACAAATGTAATTACGGGGTTGGAGATGATGCAAACGAAATTGTTTTTCGAGGGTTCATTGTTATAGGAGCTGACAGTGAACTCTGGTACACGGTATTACGGTCTTTTGATCGAGCCACCATCTCTCCCCGTAATGAATATGTCATGTTACAGTCGAGGACAAGAATTCGTTGTGCCCGCTTGCCAAATTTTATTGACTGCGCAGTATTTTCTATCTAAACGAAAAGCAACAAAGTTTAACACGTAGGCGCATTTCCAGGAAAGAATACAAACGATACAAAACACCAAACGTTTCGAAACTTTTTCAGTTTATAATAGCGCGTGAAACCGGAAGAGATGGAAATCTCTTTTTTTTTTTTTTTTTTTTTTTAATTCTGGTCAGAAAAAAAAAGAAATGCGAAATGCATGAACAATAGGGGAAAAAATTTCAGGTCCGACATATCCTGTTATTGTTGATTGATTCTCATTACAGGTGAAAATGCACCTGCAATTAAATTGCATTGTGAAAAAACGATCTAGAAATTCAAATGACTTTCTTTCTTTTGAAATTCTCAACAACGACGATAAAAGTAAACGGCGTAACGAAAATGGAAGAGAAGTCTAGAAACTTGTTCGAGAGATAAATTCACAACCAGTGGTATAACACAAGCGAAATGCAAACACGAGCCGGGGAGCGGTGGTGGTGGCTTTTTGCAACGAGAGAGAGAGAGAGAGAGAGAGAGAACAGAATGAAAGAGAAACATATAGTGCTAAAGAGCGCGAAAGCGATCTTCACTTTAAACAAAAACACACGAAATGCAAAACAGCACACGAATATATTACGCCAATTACCTCTGTTCTCCCTTCTTCCTACAATATGTTCCCTGTCTCTCAAATAATGATAATTTAGGAAAAAGAAAAAAACAAAGAAAAGAAGAACGAAACATCTGCTATTTAATTATCATAAAAATTGTGTCCGTGTAATGTATATATCACCTGCCATGCTTTACACAATGTACGATTGAAACAAAGTTTTTAGATTAGGTTGAGTACTAATTGTATACCAAAAAAAAAAGTCTTGTATCGTAGTGAGAGCGAAAACAAAGAAATCAATGTGCAAAAACAAATCAGTGTGCGTGCGTTGTATGCGTAGTAAAGAAAGAAAGAAAGAAAGATCGACGAATACTAGTGCTGTGTGAAAGAAAGAATGAGTGAAAGGAGTCAAAAAATTAGAGACAGAGAGAGAGAGATGAGAAAAGAGCACTGGCAGATGGATGGAATGATACTTGTCGCCGCCGCCGCCACCACCACACCACCACCACAACCACCACCACCACCACCATCACCGCCGCCACCGCCACCCTCACGTACTATCTTCCAGTGTTATATCAACAATGGACTCATTACTGAGCGCAAAGAAGTGATACTGATCAATAACAATTATTTATGTTATAATTCGTCCTCGATGTTACAGAAAAAGAAAACCGTGTTTAATAAAAATTTAATTTGGACAAACAGTATCAGTACTCACTTGTATATTATAGAAAATCTACCTGGCTGTATACATACACTATATATTATAGTAGCGATAAGATTAATTAAAAAACGCATGATGTTGACGATCCATTTTTTATCACTGCCATTCAATTTGAAGAACTATGCTTTCTATATTGCATCACTGATACCTAAAACTTGCGTCTCGTTGCAACATTGTTCCACGCATTCGAGGAAATGAGAAAGGGAAACAATAAGTATATACAGAGGAAGGAAGAAGAATTGTGTACGAAAATAATTGGACAAACGAAGAAGAAGAAGAAGAAGAAGAAGAAGAAAGGACAAATCAATAGCAAATACAGAAGATAAAAGTTTTATTGATTTGCCGAAATATTTCAGTTTGAACCTGTTTTTAGCGATGATATTGATATTATTTCGTCAGACACACAACCTACTTACATACTTGTTCTCTTCGCTTGTGAATATATAATCATTGTTTACGTAATGTGTTCAGAAAACATTGAAAATCGAATTAACATTGCACGAAAATTACTGTTAAAATAACCGCATATAGAAAGAAGCATAAACTTGTTACGTAATCGAACTTATTCACAGGGAATTTTCTGTGAATCTGTGTGCTCGTACATATATTCACGTATATCTATAAACATACATTACACACAGTCGTATACGCATACATACGTACGCATTTTATCTCGGCCATGTGTATGTGTGTGTGTGTGTGTGTATATATATATATACACACACGATGCATAGCCGAAATAAAATCAGGTCGTTCTCTAAAATAAATTGATAAACCTGTTTTACTTTCATTCGAAACGGTACAATTGTCATTGTTAAGCGGATAATATCGAATAATAAAATATAATTTGTTTGAAAAATATTAGTTGATGTGTATCGAGAGTAAATGGCAAATATCATTTTAACAATCAATTCTTGCTAAAATTTATGTAAATATTTTAAAAATACACACGCACACACACATATATATATATGTATATATGTATGTATGTATGTATGTATGTATGTATGTATTGAGTAGAGAGCCTGTGATTAGTTTATCTTATATGATATTTTATGTATCATATAGTGACGATTGTTTAGTTTTATAAAACTCGTTAAGGTTGGATCGTAGATGAACTAACGAAAAAGAAGAGCAACAATTTAATGTCGCACGCGTCATTTTTAAACCATATCTCATGTCTGCTGTATTGTATTTCGTTCGACGAAACGTTTCTACATTATACCTTGGAACGTATATACGCAGTTTGGCAAATGCTGACATACCAATTATGTAGAGATTAATACTGTAGATTGATGTCTCTCCTCGACGTCTACATGTACACGTATGTGTATTTGCTGTATGTGCATATAGCAGCGGGTTAAAATTCCTTCACCAAGTCTAAATTAGATTATCGGACATCCTCGAACACGATAACCGGATTTATGTGAGGTACGAATATCTACGAACGATATAATATCTCTTTTTCATAGCGTTGAAATCCATTTTTGTTTGATCAAGGGGATCAGTAAAAGAGAAAAAGAGAAAAGAGATGAATGAACAACACATTCGTAAAAGGTAAGATTATAAAGTAACAAATGTATTCTTCAAGGTAACTTTTTACGCTACGATAAAACATTACACATATTTCGTTTATATATATATATATATATATATATATATATATAAACAGGCAGTTGATAACATGTTACATCAGTTTAATGTAAATGTTATTAGTAAGATAGATTAAAAGATAAAGAAACGCTCGTAGAGGAACAAAGGAAATCGCTGGAATACCGTCGTGTAATAATTTAGGATTAGAGTTAATTATAATTTGTTTATATGTATGCAGAGTTGTGTTTTTAAAAAAGGCTCTACACATATACCAAATAAACACTGTTTATTAGAGCCAACACACGTGTAATGCTATGTTGCATGCAGAGAGAATAATATACTACATACACCGAACGCACTTTCTCTAATAGTAAGTTTCACTTATTTATTTCAGTCGATCTTTTCTTCTCTTCATAAATCTCGAATTCTATCTCTGTATGTTTGTATTATTTATTTTCATTCTTCACGTGTGTGTGTGTGTGTGTATATATATATATATATATATATATATATATACACACACCTTTAACCGTGCAGTATACAAATAGGAATATTGGTACAAGAAACGTTGCTTTCGAAAGCTACTTTGAGCGATTTTGCTTCACGAGTTTAGCAGTGCTATTTTGTATATATTAAAGTGATGACAACTCGACGTTTGAAACCTGAATTTTGTTTACCCTTCTTGCCGTGAATATCCAACGAAAGGAAAGGAAAAAGTGAGCAAACAATAGTGTGAAGACTAGAGATGGCGATTCTTGTCTTTTCTTAATTAATTAATATGAAACTACAAACAACACGTATGATTATAAAAATTGAATCTAGTCGCGTATACTCTTGGTATAATTGGAGCATCTCTCTTCTCGATAGATTTTATCATTTCCAGCGACGTGAAAGACGCTTGCATAAAAAAGATATCGGATGACGTACTCGTGAAACATAATACAGATAAATACTGCGAGAGTATTTCCAAATGTCTTCCACGTTCTTCTCGTGTTCTTTAAAAAACAATTTCTCATCGCTCACACGTTATAATTACATGATTTGAGCAACGATATTTTTCCAAATTTTTTTTCTCTACTGTTTTCTCTACTTGAATAAACGAAGTAATCTCCGCTACAACGAAATCGTTTACTACAACACGATCCCTCTTTTCCTCCAAATGTATTGGATAGATCATCGTCAAGGCGGAATCGGACAAGGGTATGTATCGCTATTACATATATGTATCTGCATGTATCCGGATATTTCTGAAGAATATGAAAGAATATGACACAGGCGAAAGAATCGGAATGTCAATTTAGAATCGATTTTCGAAGATAGTACATATTTCGCGAGATGACGACTCGTGTGTGAGATGTAGGTAAATGTGATTATGTCATTATTGCAAACAGGCAGAGATTCTTACGCTAATAAGATGTACGTACGATTATGCACACGCTGTACGCATTTATTGAAATCACGTCACGTGAGTGTAACAATGGCAATCGAAAGGATGACTGACTGAATAACGAGGGGGGAAAAAAAACCAGAGGATAAAACTTTAATAATAACTGCGCAAGATCGTTTGGATAACAAGTACGATGAAATGACATTTCGTTACTACATTTCGACAATGTGAGAAACAATTGCCCTTTCAACGAGAAATTACACTTTAACTGACTTTCGTCGATGTGACTTATCGTTTATCGTAGAAATGATGTAGCGAATGGTGAAAGAGAGAAAACGACGGACACAAAGTCGTAAAGATGATAATCCTAGGAACAGATTTTATTGATAAAGATAAAAGAGATTTCTTATTCAGTTTAATGTCTATGATCAATTAAAAATGATTATAATGTAATTCATTACGTGAGAAATAATACTGACGATATTATACATGATTCGTACGTTGCATTTTTTTCTTCTTTTTCGTTCGTTTTCAATTCATTTATAATTAATATAAGTAGAGAGGAAATAAATTAACAAAGTTGAAGTACAATATCGCATGTTACATAGCGGTTGAAACATTGAATTATCAATCGATTGATATTGATTATTCGCTAATTATAATTATAATTATTGACTGAATTATTATCTACTTGGGTAATTATTTTTTCTGATTCTTCATATTTATAATAATAAAAAGGCAACGAGTATACCACAAATATCGATTAAAATATTATTACACTAATGTCACTATTAAATATATATTCCACGTACAAAGAATATTTTCAAATTGGCATTGAGTCTTCGCAGCGAGGATTAAGTCATTATCTCCGAGAATTAAATAAAACAAAGACTGAATACACATTCGATACACACACACACAATTCGAATTAATCCATATACCAAGGACAGTGGATGTATCTTTCTAGAACGAACAAAATATACAAATATATAAAGATATAAATCTCTTTCTCCGACGAGTTTTCAATTAATCTTGCGAATGTTGCGTACGTACGATAAATGTGTATTCGAGGAGGAAATCAATTTAACAATGATCGAGTCGACGTAAGTATTTGGACTGATGGTGCCTCGATTACGAATCGATAGAGAGGGAAAGAAATGCAGCTTAATTCAATACTTTGCTAGTTCAACACGGCAACAAAAACTAAGAAACAACGTGACAATTACTAATTTCTTTCTTTCTTTCTTTTTCTTCTTCTTCTTCTTCTTTAGTACACACATCATTCTGAAACATTGTAGATAAATAATTTAAAAAAAAATAAAAAAAAAACATCCAAATTCTTATGTTTAATTGTTAAATGGGTGTGTATGTAATACGTATTGCGCGTTTCACAAAGTTAACAAAAGTCTAAATTAATGTCTGCTTTTTCTTCTCTCACCGATCACGAGAAAACTGCGATATTGCACTAACTTTTTCTTTAGGCGAACTTATGGCATCGTGTCGGTTTGAAGGTTACGCACTAATTAAAAAACGATCGTATGTCGATGCGTAGAATTCTAATTAGGAGAGACTACTACAGGCAGGAAAAGAAGGTAAGGTGGCTGTTGGTTCATCGACGGAACAACCAGGGGGCCATCTGTAATAAATTACACCAAGGTATGTTTATTTTTATATACGATTTAGTCGTATCACTAATTTCTTTTTTATGTTATGTTATGTTAAAGTGAATTGTGATGTTGGCTGCTGGTTGTTATTGATTAGTATTTTAGAGTAGAATTAATGGAGCAGCAAATATAGATAACATGGGCAAAAATGACGTTTGGTTGATTTATGTGTAATAATATAAGTGTGACTCAGTATCTTTTTTTTTTTTTTCGATTCTCAAGATCTATAAATTCATTTGTTTCGATTTTTTTTGTCTGTTTGTTTGTTATAGCTTTTAAAGAGAATTAATTAATCGCATTTTATACGTACGTATATCATACTACTGAGTCAGTCCTCTGTTTCTGATGGATATTTTTTTTTTTTTTCATTTCTTTAGGAAAAGTAGATGTATTTCGACTGTTGTGATGAATTATATAATATTAATAATAATATAATAGTTAATAATAGATAATAATTCCTCATAATAAATGTAAAAGCTGGTACACAGAGATAACAAGCGACTCGCTGGTGCCGCGGACAAAAAGACTTACAAAAACGTGACACATGCACAATACTAGACAAAAACTTTGACAACACAAATCACCAGACTAATTTTTTTTCTTGTTTCTTTCTGCACCGATGTTCATACAGCGGCGATTGTTGATATATCTGCTGGCCCAATATGATTATAAATCATATCAATATTCAATTATCTAAAACATTCTAAAACTTCTTCCTTAGAAAGTCTGCTGCAAACCCCTCGATGGGCTGCAAATTATGTATGTTTTCCATATTATTGTTTTTCTTTCTTTTTTCCGGACATGATTGTAAAGTCCTTTTCTTCTTCATCTTCTTCATCTTCTTTGAACGAGGGCTTGACACAGACTAAAAAGATGTTTGTGGCAATGGATGGAGACAACTCAATTAGTAAACTGAAACCGCCTGGTCCAGTAATATAGATAGCAAAATCCTATTCCAAATTATAGGTAGCCGGAAGAACGTATTCTTCTCACAGTTTTTGCATTCTGTAGTTTTTATTGTTGTCGTCATCGTCGTTGTGGTCATCACTTTCTTCTTCCGTGGATGCATTATCTAACCATGTTAACCAACTATTGACCTACATCATTTAATTGTTAATTAATACACAATACATTTCTTTAAATTTAATTTGTCATAACAATATATCATGTATATCAACTATATCGGTTTTTTTTTATACGGTGTAACGCAGTGATTTAACAGTTTAAAAAAAATACGGATAGCGTAAAAAAGTGCTGAGACTTTTGTTTATACAAAGAATGAAGTACACTTTTTATAGCAAAAGGGTATTTTACTAAAATATTGAAGATAATAATACTTATCGTATCGTATTAATGTACTGTTGTGCTAATTCAGATATATATAAAATTTGAAATATTAATGCGATCGATTATCTCAATATTTACCTCGAATAACGCTTTACCCTTGCCCGGATAAGCATCAGTGACGCATTCCTTCCATTTGAAATAGGCATCTTCTTCAATCACCTCTAATCGGTAAAGTCCATCAAACCATCGTAATAACATCCCTTTTGGAAAATTGTGCGAGAACCAAAATGCTTGAAGTGCATGCAGGGCTGTCACTTGAGACTCTATATCGACGAAGAGTAAACGCATCAAACGTGCATATTTTTCCAGTAATGCCTTTTCTTTATCTATTACTGATTTGCCTACACTAGAAGGATCAACACCAGGTGCCAGTATTGTTTCCTAACAGAAACATAAGAAATAGAGATAATTACAAAAACATTAGACACAAGGTATTAAACGAAGAGAGGTATCAACAATATATTGACAAAATGCCTCATAGTTGAAAGATTAAAAGTATAAAAAAAAGATTATACACAGTTAGTAAGCTAGTAACTATGGTAACACATAGAGTAACGATTAATAAACGAATAATAAATTTCTTACACACTAACCTGTGTAATGTATTTCAGAAGAACGTTCATCAAAGCATTAATGAACTCTGAATCAGAATGATGCGAAGGTTCTAGCTTTTCTTTGATCCATTTGTAAAGAGTATTAGGATTTGGGTCATATTCTAATTGACGCCAGATATCTCCCTGGATCTTAAGAAGTGGATAAAGGAAAGTCAATTCTCTGTCCTCCAAGATCTCTGCAAGTCTTTCTTTTGTCTTGTCTGCTTCGGGTAACTGGCTAATAAGATTCACCTTGCTCTCGTTAAAGATCTGCGTGAGTCTCGCTTTGCCTTGGCTTTTATGTAACTGCTGAAGTGTAAGTAAAAACAGCGGATGATGCTGACCGTTCTCTGTCACAGCAACAAGATCGTTTAATTGAATTAAATTATCCACAATCGCCTTGGCTGTTAAGAAGGCAACGTGAGAAGCTACACAAGGCACAGTACTCTCTTTTTCTGGAATATTGGATACTAATTCTTTCCATCCCTCATGTATCTGCTGTACAGTGATCACGTCTGCTTTCTCCAATTCAACTATCAGTTTAGCTGCGAGTTCTCGCTCAGAATCTCCACGATCTAATGTATTAGAGTATAACGTATAAATTGCATGACGTAAAAATCGTTCAGGTATCTTAAGATCTTGAAAAGCTGTTATTGCATCCTGCATGTTCGTATGAGAAACAAGATCATCCATCAAGGAGTTTACTTTCTTCAGTATCTCCTCTCTAGAAGTTCCTTTGTCCTTTCTATCGCGAGCTTTCTCTCGTTTGTCGACAGGACCTTGCTTTATCACGATCGCTGGTGACAATTCCTTGTGCAATAATGGCGAGCTGGGTTTCAATGTGCTAGTACGTAGAAGAGGTAATTCCGATGCTCGTCCCGTGAACAGATCTATCAATCGATAAATAATGATTTATAATAATTAGGCTTGCCTACACACAAGCTTAATCGAATCACACACCACATCGGTGGCATTGTGATCTTTTCAACAAAATACTATTCGTGATAGTTATCGATAAATTGATCGATAATTTTGCTAATGTAAGATACTTACCACTATTGAGAGGTAGGTTGGGATTGATATTGGTTTGTTTAAACATCATAGAATTAGCCGATGGTCTTAGTGAAACTTCTTCCGGATGTCCAATCAACATCTTATTTTTATTGAAGCGTAATTGTTCTTTATTGCTATCTGTAACACAAATAGGGTGATGATCGGTCAAAAACGGACGGTCTTCTTAGTAGTGAAGAAGAGATATTTGCACTATTGTAAGGTGATATATATATACATACTGTTATTAAAGTTTTGTGGCGAATTATGTTGCTGTTGATTGTGTTTCCCTTGATAGTTGTTCTGATGACGATTCTGGTTCTGATAGTAACCCGGCTGGTTACGTTGATTATGACGACCATAAGCAACCCCGGGAGATCCAGAAAATCCGTTGGGGCTGAATGGAGATGGCATGCCGAACGACGGAGAGGTCAACGGTATACCTCCCATCATGTCCATGTCTAATCCGCCACGTCCCATTTTCCTTAGAAATTCAGCTCCGAGGCGATCCTCACGTCTATGGAAGCCATTTCCCCTCGAAGACTCTTCGTTATCACTGCGGATTTGATTGATGGGCATTGGACCTTCAGTGCTGGTAGCCTTACGCGGTACCCAGCCATCACGGCGTAGCTCAATAACATCACGCAGCATAAACTTGATGCGTAGAGGAAGATCCCTGCTCTCTGCTAAGGAGTTCATACGTTTGAAATATTGATCCATGAGTCCGCGGCCTTTATCCGAGTCAAGGATACGGCCGCAGGTACGCATGATTTGACAGAGGCATTCGATATCCTCGGCAGTGTCCCCCCTGGATCTCCTTCGCATTTTCTTCTCCAATAATTGCTGGATGCAACGGTGTAAAATCGTTTCCGACACGATCCCCAATTTCCCCAGTTCTCCGATGAATTTGATGTTGCCAAGCATTTTACGCTTGGCCACCTGTCGGCGTTCCTCTTCCTCTGGGCCAAGTTCATCCTGATTTTCGAATGCCTCGCTCGCCTTTGAACGATTTTCAAACTCGTCTTTGCACTTGTTGAGAAGGAGAACTGTGAATGTGCTTTGGCCTTTTTGACTTTCAATGAGTGCTTTTCGCGGTTCAAAGTTTGCAGCTTCGTCAGACAGCCGTTTGCACAGCTGTGCGTACATAGAACTGTACTTGGGTTCATCAAGTGCTTTTTCGAAGATCTGAAAAAGCGCAAGTGAGTTGTAAAACGTTTGAATCATACAGATTCATTACAGTGCGTGTTACGATTGTTACGATTGACACGATTGCTCGCACTCGTTGTTGCGTAGACAACACTCCTGTAGTGGATATTTGTTACTTACCAAAAAAATGACACCTTTGAGAATCACATCAGAATTAAGCTCAACGTTGAGCAGGTCGTTGCTCAGCTTTGCGAACTTTTCCGGCGTAAGCTTATTAAGAATACCCCGCACCTTTCTAAAGATGAGATCATTTCTGCTTTCTGGGGTGAGTGCATCGCGTCTAACAGTTGAAGGAGGGATCCAGCGTTGCTCAGTGGATAGGGAGCGAATATCGTCCCTGGAAGGCATCGAATTTTTCTTTTTAATTTCAGTGTATTTCACAAAAGTGATTGCGAACACGGATGGTGGGTGATTGATTTTGGGTGTGAAAAAGAGGCAGCTGGTGTGTATGACTGTTACAGTCAAGGTAACTTTGTAAACCCTGACCTTCCTCCCGAGACACGAGAAGCACCCCCCGGTCCTGTGGGGTTGTCCGTTGTTGCGCGTGTTTCGGCCCCCTGAGTGATAAATCACAGCACACAGATCTTCCTTTAGGAAGCTGAAACAAAAATAACGTTACAATAAGAATACATGTTACATCTTATTAATAATTTCTTGCTTACATGCATGCCGCACCACTCATCTTTGGCTATTAATATCACAGCCTTTTTCTACCTAACTTGATATACAAAAATAACGTATCAACACAGCGTGCATTCAGGATTATCCTTTAAACATAAATTATTGTTCGTTCGTTCGTTCCTTCTGTTTCTCCATCAAATCTGATCGATGTTATCACGTGTACGATATTATTATTATTATTATTATTATTATTATTTAAGCTATATTTACCATAATGTACACAAGGAATTTATACAAGTTACATAAGCCGTAGAGATATCGCTTATACAACAACAGTGTGTGTGCGTGTGTGCGTGTGTAAAATGAATATTCCCCCTCGAAAGATTTTTTTGAAAGGATAGATCCAATTTATGGGAAAAAAGCTGTTTCGATACGTCAAACATTCACATAATATTTCTGTAAATTGTACAAATTTATTCCCAGGAAAAAAGGGAAAGAAATGAAATTTTTATTGCAGGAAAAGCATTTGCATCTGATGACAATGAAAAGAAATCATAACTTAGAGTTGGACAAATTCACCATTAATGTAATATTGCACACACTGAAACCAATGAAAAGAAGAGAAAAAGAAAAAGGAGAAGAAAATTCCTTCCATCCATTGTACGTAATAATGTAAAATAACGACAAAAGGGGAACAAATTTACAATTAGGCTGCTAGATGTTTATACGTGCAGGATCGTAGTTTTCCAAATTCGAACAAAGGCTTAAAATTGTTAAACATTGCAGAGAAAAAGAAAAAAAAAAATGTCAAATATTGCTTATTAAGACATTGTGAAAAATACCACTGTGTGCTTTGAGTAAAATTTACACATTATCACGTATCGCGCGGTGTCTTTTCTTTTTTTTTTTTTTTTTTTTTTTTTTTTTGGACCTTTAAATCGCTCGCAAATGAACAAACATCCGCAGCCTACTTATGAAGAATGAAACTTTCAACGGCAGGAGAGACACGGATTAACAATGTGCAGCCTTGTTGCGCTCACAAGTGAAGGTCTTCGACAGGAGAGGACGAGGATCTTCTCCAGGGAAACGGCTTTGATCTTGAGGTGTCGGTTACGAGCAAAACAACCAAAAGCCGTGAACGATAAACGTGGAGAGGATCGTATGTGGGGCGCGGCTCATGGTCAGATGGTCAATGAACCTTTCGTCGTCTCACCTCGACCGATCTCGGCTCCTATCGTCAGCCAGATCGGGCGAGGTCGGACAACTTCGTCCTGACTTCGACTAAGGTCGTCTCCGACCGCCTCTACTGAGCGATCCATGTATTTAGGATGCGCGGCTGGAAAACCTTCGGTCTGTTTTCAATTACACGCTGCCAAATCGAGGAAAACGAAGAATAGCTTTGTCTCAGAAACGAAAAAAAAAAAAAAAA